CTTTAGTAAAGTCAGGTTTCAATGAAATCTGAAGTGGTGATAAGGAATCCTGACAAATGTCCAGAATGGGACTGCATGAGGCAATGCAATGGCTTCTGTGCTTTACACTCAAGCAGGGACATCAAACCTCCACACATTTATGACAAGATAGAGCTTACTATTATTTCACGACATTTACAATGGTGGCTGATAAACTGTCTTGTTTAAATACAGACAGAGGTTTGTTCTTCTTTCGCAAAACAGAAACCACAAAGTTTGTAGCACATATAAAATAGTGTGGATTTACTTTAATGTGATCTACAATATAATTCTTTATTTTTGTCTATCTTTCTACAGTCCTGTTCTGAGCACCTACTACATTCTCTTCATACACAAATTCTTTCAGCATTATTGTTAGAACTATGCCAAAGATACACCAAATATCTTTATCATCCCTATATATAAATGATTCTATTCCAATTCACTCTTAAACAATCCTGCACTTAATATATATGAGAGACTTTACAGTGGAAGGTAAATATTAATATACATGTCTCTGACAAGATAATGAAAAGCTTTGATAAAGATAATGGACATTAAAGTCACATAACACTATTAAGTATAAAAGTCATCTGGAGAAAATATAGCTAATGCCACATCTAATAACTACAGTTTGCAAATCTGGATATAGTTTCAATTACACACACCCATATGGTATAATGTAAATTTTGCCTGTATTGGATAGAACAAGAGAGAAAATGACACTTTACATATATGGTATTTCCTTCAAAAGTTGATAATAAGAAAACTACGCAATATACAATACTCTGATAAATATCTACATGAAAATCTCGAAACTATTATAAAGAAAGGGAAAACTACACTCGCTGATACATGAAACAATCAATGCAGGCAGAGAATACATAAGAATAATAAAAAGGGAATGAATAGAATATAGGACAGGCTAGATTTGCATTTTTAGGTTCGCATGATACCCTAGTCTTAGGACATTGTCTTTAAAGGTGCGTCACTCTCATTAACCAGTATGATATATACCAGCCATACGCTTAACCTCCTTATTGAATATTTCAGATCTTATTCTGCTCTTTTATATTTGCAAATAATAAACCTATTTTCACAAATAATAAACCTATTCTCGTCTATTAAAATTCACGTGTAATCAACCTGGGAATACCATTACATCATTATTAAAACCTATAATGTTTTAATCCTTAGAAACGCCAAGATAGAACGACCTTTCCAGAGTAATTATTCCCTTCTTGACTCCCACAAGAGGAAAATTAATTAATATCTTAGGAAATTGCAATGATAAAGCAAGCAACATGCAAAATCAGCTGTTCAGTCACACACACCAAACACCGGGGAATTTATTAGTTATTTTTCTCTTTTCTCTCTTTCACGCTACGACTTGCGACCTCATACGAGCCAGATTGCGTGCAACTCACCTCCTTTTTGCATTCTACGAGGGTGAATGCGACTACGAAGGAAAATAACCATAATAATATTCCCTTGACAGAATTCATGTTGTTCTTGTTTACATTAACGGTATAAATGGTTAAACTCCTTGCGGTTGATGTTACTCGATCCTTTTCCAAGGGACTTGCGAAAGCGATTCGAGATCCTGTGGAGATGCGCTTTTGTTTTGGGTTCTGTACCGGCGATTATTTTCATTGCATCTTCTTATTCAGTCTAATTAATAGATTTATTGTAGCATGTTGGTATTTCATATATATATTCCATTTGATATTTTGGTAATATAAAACCACTTCAACACCCTAAGATACGTATGCCGCACTACAACAGCCACATCAATCCTCTCAGACTCATATCCAACACAAACAAATATCCCACAAAACAACCAAACAACTGAAAAAAACACAACTAATAATGAGGAAAAATAAATAAAACATCCCCCCCCAAAAAAAAAATACAAAAAAATAAATAACCCCTAACCCCCTTCCCAACCCCCCCCCCCCCGCCGAAAAAACAAGTAATCCCATAAAACAACCAAACTAAAAAAAACAACACACAACTAATAACAAAAAAAATAAAACAAATAAAACATCCCCCCCCAAAAAAAATAAATAACCCCTAACCCCCTCCCCCGAAACACCCCCCCGAAAAAAAAGGGAACCGGATCCTCCTCCCCCTCCTCCTGGAAGCCCTCGTTCATTCGTCTATAGGTTATCTCCTCGGCAGGCTGTCGGCTCGTGATTGGCCGGCGGCGGACGAAGGAACCACCTGTGGGTAATAAGGCTCATTTTCACGCCTCCCGCACGCACGCACTTCCCTCTCGATTCGCTGCACGCAAGCACAGATCTTTGGGGGTTTTATGACGAAGGGGGCTCATGTCGTGTGTATATATTTTTTGATTCCCATGTTGGTGTTTCTATTTTTTTGTATCTGTGGTTTGTTCCGTTCAAGAGGACGTGGGGGAGGTGGAGGAAGGGGGGTGGGGGGCGATCACACCCCCCCTCCCTGTGTAGGTAATTAAGTCAGAACGGAAGGGAGATAATATGTGAAAGTATTTTTTTTTTTAATGTAAATACACAGTTGTGGTACAATTGTCAATAAAAAAACATCTAGCTGAAATTAAGTGCCATATTTTAACTTTAAAAAAAAAATCACGTACGTGTGTGTGTTTTTCTTCATAAATTTTTAAGTGTTCATACTGAAACTTTCAAAGCCTGAACAACCATTTTGCTACTGTTCTCATGTTTGCAATATTGATCTATTGATCTATTGCTCCAAAATGCCTGGAAAAAATCCTTACATCCACTACAGCAGCATTATGGTCTTATATATTTCAATCAAATTCTCTTTTTATTGACTGTTCCTTCATAAATGTTCATAGTTGGATAATATGTTTTATTAAATTTCACTATCCTGTGATGCTCGTTTAAAGATTAGTTATGTATGTAGACGCACTTTTCTCCTTGCACGCATTCTGCACCTGTTAAATGTTATATCATTATCATTAATCGTTTTCATCATAGAATTAAATTAATGTTGCATGGCTGTGGATTAAGAACCCCTCGTGCGATATTTTAAAGTGTATTTTTTAAGGTCTTATTTCCGCCGTCAATAACTGTCATGCCGTCCTTTCCTATGACTCCAGCCTTAGTTATGGGGGGGGGGGGGGGGGGCGGAGTCATATGTAAAATGCACTTCGCTGACGACGGGAAGAAGATGGGAGGCTCTAATTTCATGATCCTCTGCATGATCTATTATATATATATATATATATATATATATATATATATATATATATATATATATGTGTGTGTGTGTGTGTGTGTGTGTGTGTGTGTGTGTGTGTGTGTATGTATATGTGTATGTATGTGTGTGTGTATGTGTGTGTGTGTGTATGTATGTATATGTGTATGTATGTGTGAGTATGTGTATGTGTGTGTGTGTATGTGTGTGTGTATGTGTGTATGTGTGTGTGTGTGTGTGTGTATGTATGTATATGTGTATGTATGTGTGAGTATGTGTGTGTGTGTGTGTGTGTGTGTGTATGTGTATGTGTGTGTGTATGTATGTATATGTGTGTGTGTGTGTGTATGTATGTATATGTGTATGTGTGTGTGTGTGTGTGTGTGTGTGTGCATGTGTATGAACACATATATGTATATGTATATATATATTTTTATAATATACATATGCATGTTTTATTTTCAATTTCCATTTATTGTGGGGATATGAAATGTCATAAAAAATAGTCTACATCTATGACCACGATGTGATCCTAAGAAATCTCTCTCAATACATAGGTAATATGGGAAAACATGTGAACATTTCACTAGATCCTCATGTTCTAGCAGCAAAATATTCATATCGGGAAGTATCTCAGATTCATGTTTTGTTTACAGAATGTGTTTGAATGGTCGAAAGAATATTACGGAAATTTATATTATATTTCTACATTATCATTTTACATCTTGTGTACGTATAATATAAATATGAAGGCGTGAATTCGTGTATCCTTTGAGATGTATTTAATATCAGTTACTAGAAAGTGACATATTCTAAATATCGGTATTTATAAATCGTTTTATTTGTAATTTTTAAGATGTTGATAACTAATAACTTTTATATGCTACTAATTCCTAATGTAATATCAGTAAAACAGTGGTTGATAATTTAATAAAATTAGATTCGTCACGATTCTTGGCAACAGCGTAGGATCATTGGCAGGTTTTAATTGGCGAGTTTTTTTCCTTTTTTTTCTTTGTCAACGGAAGTAAGGCCTTTTAGTTATCCCTTTGACTGAGGAATAATAAAATAGATAAATAAAATGTCGATAAAGTGCAAAGAAAATGGAGAGCTCGTTTGATGTAACGGATACCACTATATTTGGTCTGAATCGCGTTATCAGATGAACATATAAATGATGATAATTTAATCTATTACCGGTTCTACATGAACTTGGGAGCTTATGTAAGTATTCACATTTTGTAACATTTCAGCATTATATATGTAGAAGAAATCTAATACGCTTGTCTTGCGATGCCCCACTGGTTGTGATATCATAATGATAATAATAATAGATAATGATAATATATTATCATAATTCTACAAAGGTGCGCTTGTCATGGGCTAAAAGTTACTATACGAATAAAAATTAGAACATGCATTTTGATTATCTTTGCACAGTTAACAATGATTGTGGGCCAAGTAGTTTTTTTTTCATGTTTATCTCCTTTACAACGTCTTTACAAGCAAAAACTCAATAATCGTAGATAGCATAGCTCAAAATAGCAGCGAATTCACCACTTGCACCAAAATCCTGACCTGCTATTCATGGCTGCCAGCGCCTTCGAAATCGGGTTTTTCTTGTTTCTAGTATTTATTATTCCTTTTTTTTTTGTCTGTCTGTCTGCTTCGTTAGACTGTGATATTTATGGATCATTTTCTGTTTTTTGTATTTATCGTTATGCATTTGGGCGATTATACTTTATATATTTTAGTTTTGTAGAAAACTAAATTATATTTGGCGTATGTTTTACCGTGTTTTACCGTGTTTTTGTTCTTTATTATTATTATTATTATTATTATTATTATTATTATTATTATATATATGTATGTATATATACATATATATATATATATATATATGTGTGTGTGTGTGTGTGTGTGTGTTTGTGTGTGTATGTGTGTGTATGATGTATGTATATATGTATGTATGTATCGGCAGTTTTATATGTTTGCGTGATAAAATTGAGCATATTTCTGTTATGTATATGTTTTTAGAAAATACATTTACATATGCACCGGTGCCTTCTTCCCAATGAGCAGTCTGGGAATCCCCTCTCCTAAGGCCCGGGCGAAGCTAGAACTTCGCAAATCACAATCGATCCTCCCCCCCCCCACAATAAAAAAAAAGAAAAAAATATAAATATATATTAGAAAAATAAAGGATAGATTTCAGGTATCAGTTGACACATGGTATGAAAAGAAACCATAAGCCTTAAATTAAACCAGGATTTAAACCTGTTTATCGAAGTTTTCTTTTGGCTTTTTCTCTCGTTATTATTATTATTTTTAAGTACTTAACTTGATTTCTTTTCTACTGAGTTCTGTTTTTTCTTCTTTTCACTCATTACTGTTGGCGTGTCAGTATTGTTATTGTAATCTTGTGTTTATTAATATCATTATTATATTACTGTTATTGTTCCCATTATCACTCTCACTATAAATATTTTTGTTTAGTTCTGTAGGAGTTGACTGCGGTGATGAAAATCCTTGCTTTTGAGATACAACCGGATGCCCTTCCGGAAGCAGTTACTCCTTATCACTTTTTTGTTTTTGTTTTTATCTTGGCGAAGTTTCATTTTAAAGGTTGTGGATGTAACACGTCCAAAGGAATATATTTCAAAGGCTTATCATCACTAATCTGTAAGCTATTCAATTATCATCACAAATCTGTTAATTATCAAATAAACATCATCACTGCCATTTATTAAATAATTTTCAACAGCAACCTTCATTTATTATATTATTATCGCCAACTTTCATCTATATAATCATTATCCTCAACGAATTCTTGAGTTTAGCAAACACATATCACCAATCTATTAACTGCCTCATTATTATCATCACAAACCCGTCAGTTATCAAATAATTATGATCACATTTATCATTAACATTACATTACTGTCAGTATCAGTTATTACTAATCATTTCAGCTGGCTCTTCGTCTCAATAAATAAAGATAATAAGGAAAATACGTAAGAAAAAATGGGAAGGCAGAATGTGACTAACAAATCTAATCATCCCGAGAGAAACGAAAACGTCGATATGTCATTAATATTAGTTTTTTTTTTTTGTGCGTGTACGTGTGTGTGTGTGTGTGTGTGTGTGTGTGTGTGTGTGTGTGTGTGTGTGTGTACGTCTGTGAACTGCACAGGGAAAGATATCGGAAGCATTTTTTTGTTTTACGAAGCAACAGTGTAGGTTCCAGGCACGGAGATACGATTATTAAGTGGGTCAGAGTCATGGCGAGAGGAGGTAGGGGGGAAGGGGGTGGGGTGGAATCCAGGAACCGGGAAGGGAAGCACAGAGGGGGGGGGGGGGTAGGGATGGCGGTCTCGGTTACAGGGAGGGAGGGGGTGAGGGAGGCTAAGAAGGGAGATCTAGATAGAGGGAGGGGTGAGGGAGGGAGGGTAAGGAGGGCGATCCAGATACAATAGTGGGGATGAGTGGAGGGAGGTTTGATAAGAGGATAAGGGAGGGAGGGAGGGGGGGGGGAGGTGAGGTCCTCCATACCGGGGGAGGGGAGTAGACGGTAGGAGGGGAGGAGGCAGGTGCTGACTCTGGGAGAGGGGAGAGGGGGGCGGGGAGAGGAGAGAGGGGAGAGGGACTGGGATCGGAGCCTCGTAGGGCAGCTGGACTCAAGGTCTATATGAACTAACCTGCCCAGTACCGCGGTAGCCGGAGTTGGAAGAGGTACGTGGTGTGCGTTCTCCGTCTTCTCGGGTGTGAAAATAAGTTGCGTGCATTGCCGTTAGTCACTTGTCTTTTACTCTGAATTAGGAGTAACGCGAATCCGTCGTCGTTTCTTTTTTTTCAGGAGAATCGAACGCGTTTTGACAAACCTCACGTTTCCCTGTTGCTAAATTTTGTCCGAATTCTAAGACTTTTGCATTTTTGGTATTGCTGACTTGCTTTATGTTTTCCTATATATATTTAAAATGTTTCTCCTTGTAAACATTATATTTTTTTATTTATTTACAAAAACAAAGATGAGTGCTTTAACAAGTCTTCAAACAATGCACGTTATTTCCTACAAATATACAAGTTATCAATGCCATAGTGTAATAATAACCCTTTTTTCTCGTCGGGAAGAAGGAGATAAAGAACAGCCGAGAATATTATGTTTTACCCGTGTTTTTTTTTTCTTTTCTTTTTTTTTCTTTCTTTTCTCAAATACGAAAAAGTGTCTAAAATCTTTTTATGTTGCTGACGAGGAAACCAGTTCTGTTAGACGTGTTCTGTGTT